TCCTCTTGTATCTTCAGCACCTGGAACATAAGAGATGCTCCAGATATATTTGTCTATACTAGTGATGTTGATTTCTCTCATTCCACTGTCTTTTTTTTTTGGAGTTGGAGTCTCACTGTCACCCATGCTGGGTGTCATGCTCACAGCCACAGCAGTGACACGCTCACAGCCACAGCAGCCTCAACCTTCTGGGCCTCAGCCTTCCAAGTAGCTGGAACTACAGGCATGTGTCAGCACACCCAGCAAATTTTTTTATTTATTGTAGAGACAGGGTCTCGCTATGTTGACCAGGCTGGTCTCAAACCCATGGGCTCTGGCAATCCACTCACCTCCACCTCCCAAAGTGCTGGGATTATAGGTGTGAACTGCTGCACCAGCCCTTTTTTTTTGAGTCGAGATCTCACTCTGTCACCCAGGCTGGAATGCAGTGGCATGATCATGATAATCATGGTTTACAGCAGCCTTAACCTCCTGGGTTCAGGTGATCCTTCCACTTCAGCATTCCCAAGTAGCTGAGACTACAGGCACACATCACCACACATGGCTAATTTTTAAAATCTTTTAGAGAGATGAGGTTTCACTATGTTGCCTAGGCTGATCTCAAACTCCTGGGCTCAAGCAATCTGCCCGCCTCGGTCATCCAAAGGTTGGGATTACAGACGTGAACTACTGTGCCTGTCCTCTCACCCCACTGTCTTGACCCTAGTCCTGTCAGGCCTTTTTCCTACCATTCCCAAACAGTACAGGTGACCACTGACCTTCATGTTGCCAAATCCAATTGTCAATTCTCAGCTTATCTCTGTGTGTGACTGTGAACCCTCCTTTTAGAAATGCTTTCTTGACTTGGTTTCTGGCACCCTATTCTCTAGTTTCTTTTCTTCTTTTTTGAGTCAGGAGTCTCACTCAGTTGCCTAGGCTGAAGCACAGTGGTACAGTCATAGCTTACTTGCAGCCTCAAACTCCTGGGCTCAAGCAATCCTCCCGAGTAGCTAGGACTACAGGCACATGCTACCATACCTGGCTAATTTGATTTATTTTCTTGTAGTGACAAGGTCTTGCTATGTTGCCCAGGCTGGTCTCAAACTCCTGGGCTCAAGCAATCCTCCCACCTCAGCCTCCCAAAGTGCTGGGACTACAGGCCTGAACCACCATGCCCAGACCCTCTCTTGTTTCTTTTTTTTTTTTTTTTTTTTTGAGTTGGAGTCTCACTCTGTTGCCCAGACTAGAGTGCAGTGGCATGCTCCCAGCTTCTGCAGCCTTGACCTGCTGGGCTCCAGCAATCCTCCCACCTCAGCCTTCCAAGGAGCTGAAACTACAGGCGTGTGCTACCATGCCCAGCTTATTTTTTATTTATTGTAGAGATGAGGTCTTGCCGAGTTGCCCAGGTGGGTCTCAAACCCGCAGGCCCAGGCAATCCACTCGCCTCAGCCTCCCAAAGTGCTGGGATTACAGGTTTGAACCACTGTGCCTGGCTGGATTTTTTTTTTTTTTTTAATTTTAAAGACATGAGGTACAAGTCAGGAATGAGTACATAAGTGGTCTAGGTACAGGTGAAGTTTGGGCCTTGCACTGTTCCTCACTTCGCCTGGATTAGGATCAGATACCATTATTGATTTTACGTGGCCCCCTCACCCTAGCAGTATCCCACTAATGCCAATTCTTTTCTTATAGTATTATGATAGGTGTTCCGGGTTCACTTATGAGTGAGAACATGTGGCACTCAGTTCTTTGTTTCTGTGATAGATCACTGAGTATGAAAGACTCCAAATCCTTCTAAGTTGCTACAAAGTCCATAGTTTCTTCCTTCTTTATGGCTACATAATATTCTATTGTGTCTATGTACATATATGTACATTTTTTAAAATCCAGTTCAATTTCAATGGGCAGCATGGTTGGTTCCATACTTTTGCTATTGTGAATAGTGCCGCAATAAACATGCGTGCACAGGTATCTTCTCTGTAGAATGATTTTTTGGTTTTTTTTGAGTTGGAGTCTCACTTTGTCGCCCAGACTTGAGTGCAGTGGCCTCTCCCGGCCACCGCAGCCTCGATCTGCTGGGCTCTGGCGATCCTTCCGCCTCAGCCTTCCAAGTAGTTGGAACTACAGGCGCGCACTACCAAGCCCGGCTCATTTTGATTTATTTTTTATTTATTTATTTATTTTTGAGTTGGAGTCTCATTCTGTCACCCAGACAGGAGTGCAGTGGCCGCTTCCGGCCACCGCAGCCTCGACCTACTGGCTCCAGCGATCCTTCCACCTCAGCCTTCCAAGTAGCTGGAACTACAGGCGCACATTACCACACCCGGCTAATTTTTGATTTGTTGTAGAGATGAGGTCTCACCAAGTTGCCCAGGCGGGTCTTGAACCTGCGGGCTCAGGCAATCCACTCACCTCAGCCTCCCATAGCATGGGATTACAGGCTGAGCCACCGAGCCCAGCTTGTAGAATGATTTTGAGTTTTTCCGGGTATATTCCCAGAAGGGGGATTGCTGGGTCCTATGGAAGATCAATTTCTGGTTCTTTTAGGAATCGCTGGACTGTTTCCCATAGAGGTTGAACTAGTTTGCACTCCCACCAACAGTGTAGAAGCATTCCCTTTTCTCCGCATCCTCGCCAGCACCTGTTATTTTCCGTTTTATTAATGATGGCCATTCTTACTGGAGGTAGGTGGTGTCTCTTTCAAGTCCAGACCTCTTTACAGTATCAAAGTTCCTACTTGACACTTCCACTTGGATGGTTTTTTCTTTTTCCCCAAAGGAGGTGATCCAGTTGGATGTTTTAATAAAACACTCACATTTTACATGTCCAAAAACTGAGCTTCTACTATCTATCTTTCTCCAAACCAGCTTTTACTATAGTCTTCCCCATCTTAATTCATGGCATTTTAATTTAATAGTGCTAGGGCCAAAAACATCGTTGCCATTCTTGAGTCTTCTCTTTCTCTCCACCTTCAGTGTAAATCCTGGCCATGTCTCATCACCTATACCATTATTACCCCAGTTCAAGCCATTATTATATCTTGCCTAAATCATTACAATTGTCGTTTAATTGGTTTCCATGCTTCTGACGTTGTTCCTCTATATTCTCTTCCTCTCCTTTTTATTTTATTTTTATTTATTTATTTATTTTTATTGTAGAAACGAGGTCTTGCCAAGTTGTCCGGGCTGGTCTCGAACCCACGGGCTCAGGCAATTCACTCGCCTCAGCCTCCCAAAGTGCTAGAATTACAGACTGAGCCACTGAGCCCGGCCTTTTCCTCTCCTTTTTAAAGTTTAAGTTATTCCACATTATTTCTTTGTACATTAACCCTCTTCAGACCGCACATGTTAGTGAGCACCTGCAATCCCGGTGTTTGGGGAGGCTTAGGTGGCAGGACTGCTTGAGCCCAGGAGCTTGAGACCAGTCCGGGTAACATAGTGAGATCCCGTCTCTACCAAAAAATTTTTTTGAGTTGGAGTCTTACTCTGTCACCCAGGCTGGAGTGCAGTGGCACACTCACAGCCACTTCAGCATCAACCTGCTGGGCTCCGGCAATCCTTCCACCTCAGTCTTCTAAGTAGCTGGAACTACAGGCACGCGCTACCATGCCCAGCTAATTTTTTATTTTATTGTAGAGATGAGGTCTCGCCAAGTTGTCTGGGCTGGTCTCGAACCCACAGGCTCAGGCAATTCACTTGCCTCGGTCTCCCAAAGTGCTGGGATTATAGGCTGAGCCACTGAGCCCGGCCCAAAAAAATATTGTAAAGAAAAAAAAAAAAAACCCTTTCCAAAGACCTCCTCGCATTCAGAATTAAAGCCTGATCCCTCACAATGACACTATGTGACCTTTCTCTTCCTATTACTCAAACACACTGACTGCTCTTGCCTCTGGGCATTTGTACATGCAGTTCTTCTTGCTGGAATCTTTCTTCTCCCTGGCTCATGTCCTCAGAGCTCTGCACAAATGTCTCCTCAGAGGCTTTCCTTGACCACTTACACTCTAACCTTCTTGCCTGCTTCATGCAGTTTCACAGCATAAATCATTACCTGACACCATTTCTTTATTATCTGTTTCTCCCACTAGAATGTAAACTCCATGAGGGCAGAAATGTCATCTGCATTCTCAGTGCCTAAAACAGTGCTTGGCATGTAGTATGTGCTCTGTGAAAACTTGCTAAATGAATGAGTGAAAGGAAAGATGGAGTAAGGGGGAAACCTAGGCAAGAAAAAGAAGATGGAAGAAAAAACCCAGCAGTTGAATGCAGTAATGGTAACTTTTTCTTATAATGTACCGGAGGAGATCCATTTTCAAATTACAGGAAAATTAAGCCCAGGACCTGGTCAGCAGTACCCCTTAGAGAGAACAAATTGACAGGGGCACGTAATGTACTTATTTAAACAGCTAGGGACTGAAAACTGCCAGGAGGATGTTTTTGTAATGCCAGCCAAATTAAAGAATTCTTGCCCAAACAGACAAGTATTTTTTTCTCATAATATTAAATCAAGTAAGATTTCAAAAGACATGTATTATCCAGCCCAGCTGAAAGTTAGAAAGCAGGGAGGGCAGTGAATGAGTCTGAGCAAAGCACTTACTCTGGAGGTTTTTGTCTTTGATGGACACTGCAGCTAGGAAGCTTGCTAACAGTTACTGCCATTTAAATGCATAACTATCGAAATACGAATTGTTTGATTTGGAAAAAAGGATGACAGCCTAGGAAACCCCTGGGTTCTCACTTGAGTAAAAGTAGGAAGCCATTTTACTAACCTCAGGCACTTGGCCTTCTGTTTCTCACTCAACAAAGGAAGGAAGACGTGGCTCAAAAGGAGAACCTCAGTGAAAAAATAAGACTCCCTGCAATGGAGCCAAGTTCTCCTGAGCAAATGGCTCATAGATCAGACCAGCTGGCACAAATGTCCACTCAGCTGACACGGAACCCAAGCCCCACAGAAGCTGCAGGTGGCTTGGCCACACAGGCTCTGCTCATGAAGTGCCACGTGCCCCGGGGCTTCTGAATACTTACGTTTCTCCTTTTGTCCATGTTTGTTTCTTCAGCTGCTTTCTGGTACCTTCAGAGAAGGGGGGAGAAAAGAATGTCCTCAAATTAAACTTTTATTTTTATTCTTTCCATCTTTAAGAAAACCACTTCTGCCAGCAGTTGTCTTTAATCAACTCTTTCGGAAGAAGCAGAGAATCAGGGCAGCCCTCACTTCCTGTGGCTGTTCTAGTCATCTGCTCTACTGGCAAGATCCAAGCAGATGAGGTCAAATGCTAGGAAACTGGATGGAGCAGAACGTCTGGGGTTTAAGTCCCAGCTTTGTCATTCATTAACTATGATCTCTGGCAAGTAACTTAATCTTCCTAAGTCTCAGTTTCTTTATGCAGAAAATGGCTTTACAATGTACTATCAAGTGTTTTTAAATGCTTTGAAATTAGTCAAATCTGTATAGCAATGCATTAATTAGGTTTTTTGTTTTTGTTTTTTAGTCGGAATCTCATTCTGTCGCCCAGGCTAGAGTGCTGTGGTACAATCATGGCCACTGCAGCCTCAACCTGCTGGGCTCAGTCAATCCTTCTGCTTCCGCCATCCAAGGAGCTGGAACTGCAAGTGTGTGCCACCATGTCTGGCTAATTTTTTTGTATTATTTATTGTAGAGACAAGGTCTTGCCAAGTTGCCCGGGCTGGTCTTGAATCCTTGGGCTCAGGCAATCAGTTTACCTCCGCCCCCCAAAGTGTTGGGATTACAGGCGTGAGCCACCATACCTGGCATCAATGCATTATTTCTAAGACGCACATTTCCCTTTCCACATTTATGCCTCTGAAACTTTATAACTGTTGTCAAATGGTCAAGAGGTCGTCATAATAACCGTACATTTTGAATGAATTTAGTCTAAGTTATTGATACTGTTGCTTTAGCTCAGTTAAATGTGTTTGATGGTACTACTTCCTTTTTTTTTTTTTTTGAGTGGGAGTCTCACTCTGTCACCCAGGCTGGAGTGCAGTAACACGCTTACGGCCACCGCCAGCCTCAACCTGCTGGGCTCAGGCGGTCCTTCCACCTCAGCCTTCCAGGTAGCTGGAACTACATACAGGCATGTGCCACCACGCCCAGCTAACTTTTTATTTATTTATTGTAGAGACGAGGTCTTGCCATGTTGCGCAGGCTGGTCTTGAACCCGTGGGCTCAGGCAATCCTTTCGCCTCCACCTCTAAAAGTGCTGGGGTTACAGGCATGAACCACTGCAGCCGGTTTCTTTCTTTTCTTTTTTTTTTTTTTAAGAGGCAGGATCTCACTGGGCTGGGGTGCAGTGGTGTGATCATAGTTTACTGCAGCCTCAAATTCTTGGGCTCTGGTGATCTTCCTGTCTCAGCCTCTTGAGTAGCTGAGCCTACAGACACACCACCACGCCCAGTTAATTTTTTTCATTTTTTGTAGAGATAGTATCTTATTGTACTGCCCAGGCTAGTCTCAAACTCCTGGCCTCAAGCAATCCTCCTGCCTTGACCTCCCAAAGTGCTAGGATTACAGGGGTGAGTCACCTTGTCTAGACAGGTACTATATGTTTAAATGTCACTTAAAATATCTTTTAAAAGATTATACAGCTGGGTTTGGTGGCTCAGCCTATAATCCCAGTACTTTGAGAGCCCGAAGCAAGAGGATTGCCTGAACCCGCGGGTTCAAGACCCACCTGGGCAACTTGGTGAGACCTTGTTTCTACAATAAATCAAAAATTAGCCTGACATGGTAGCGCACGCCTATAATTCCAGCTACTTGGAAGGCTGAGGTGGAAGGATCGCCAGAGCCCAGTAGGTTGAGGCAGCAGTGGCTGGGAGTGTGTTACTGCACTCCAGTCTGGGCCACAGAGTGAGACTCCAACTCAAAAAATATATATATATTACACTATGATTTGGCACTTAAGGAAAAAAAATTTTTTTTTTTTGAGTCAGAGTCTCATTCTGTCGTCCAGGTTAGAGTGCAGTGGCACATTCACGGCCACCACAGCCTCGACCTGCTGAGTTCAGGCGATCCTTTTGCCTCAGCCTTTCGAGTAGCTGGAACTACAGGCACGTGCCACTACGCCCAGTCAATTTTTAAATTTATTGTAGAGATGAGGTTCTCACCAAGTTGCCAAGGCTGGTCTCAAACCCATGAGCTAAGAAAATCCTCTCACCTTGGCCTCCCAAAGTACTGGGAGCTACTGTACATGGCCTAAAATTATTTTACTTTTTTATGTATGTCCAAGAGTAATATGTAAGAAGAGTTTGTTATAAGCAAACATTGGTCAGTGTAATTAGCAGCATTTTCTCGTGGAGATGCATAAAGCAGTAGCACAGTCTATAGCTGATGATAACTTAGATTTGATTAAAAAGCATATATAAACTGGTGAGGTGGCTCACGCCTGTAATCCCAGCACTTTGGGAGGCAGTGGCGAGAGGACTGCCTGAGCCCAGCAGTTCAAGACCCGCCTGGGCAAGTTGGTGAGACTTCATCTCTACAATAAATCAAAAATTAGCCAGGTGTGGTGGTGTGTGTCTGTGGTTCCAGCTAATTGGAAGGCTGAGGAGGAAGGGTCACCTGAGCCCAGCAGGTTGAGGCTGCAGTGGCCATGAGCATGCCACTGCACTCCAGCCTGGTGACAGAGTGAGATTCCTACTTAAAAAAATAAAAAGCATATATAATTTTATATTTTTAATTTTATTATTAGACTTAGCATTTTATTTTATCATTTTTATTACCTGGATCAGAAGATCCATGAGTAACAAAGTTATTTTCTGGGAGAATCCAAAATTCTCCATTTAAAGAGTAAGTAGGCCTGGCAGGTCCAAGCAGCAACAAATCTCCAGGCCACCCAGAACAACCTTAACCTGGCTTTCTCCAGGCCTCAGAGGCAAGCATCAAAGGCAGCATCATCACATGGAGAATCCCTATCATGTGCCTCTCCTTGGGCCTGCATGCCCAGACCCCAAATGACACCACCCCTAGAAAAGGGCACTGTTCAAAGGGCACTTGTTCTCTGTCTTAAGGTAGAACTTCAGAATTCACAAGGCATTTGGGAAAGGAGGTAGGAGAAGGAGAAAAAAAGCAGAATGGAGGCCGGGCTCGATGGCTAAGTCTGTAATCCCAGCACTTTGGGAGTTTTTTGAGTTGGAGTCTCACTCTGTCGCCCAGACTGGAGTGCAGTGGCTGCTCTTGGCCACCGCAGCCTCACCTGCTGGGCTCCGGTGATCCTTCCGCCTCAGCCTTCTAAGTAGCTGGAACTACAGGAATGTGTTACCACGCCCGGCTAATTTTTTGATTTATTGTAGAGATGA